TAATTTAAAAATATTTTACATAGATCTTGAGACCCTAATACTAAAGGAAATTAATCAGACATGGAAATATCACATGGTTTCTCTAACATGAGAAAACCAAAATATAAATAATTGAAAGAGAAAAATAAAAGACAGATGGTAGGAAATGGTAAAGTAAACATAAAGAGATGGAAGGGGAGCTGGAGAAAGCAAAAGAGAGGAGAGCAAAAGTAATCAAGTTATGATATGTATATGTATCAATTCCTCAAGATGAATTACTATGCATCACAAATAGATACTAATAAAATACAAAAATATTAACCATTTTTATGAAAATGTGAGAATAATATTAAAGAAAATAAAAACAATATATTGTTACCCATAATCTTACCATCCTATGACAAGAACTGTCTTAATTTTGGCATAGTAATATTTAAGTTTTCTGTATTCACATTGGTTCTACTGTAGTTCAAAATTCTAACTGCTTATGTTGTATAGCTTTATTTTTTTAACTTGCAAACTATCGTAAACATTTGCTAATTATACAATCCAAATGCAAAGAAATGTAACTTACACCGGTGGACAGGGATTCGAGATTGCCCATGACCTAGAAGTCCATCCTTGCTTTAATTTAAAAATAAAATAATTAGAATCAGTATCTTTCATACTTTACAAGATAACCAATAAATCAATGCAATAGACCTAGTTATAATTTTTCTCAGTAACCTTATATAAAAATACTAAGTCCCTCCCCAATGTGCATGAGACAGTATTTAATATATTTTAAAATAAAGCTAACTCGGGCAGTGACAAATTTTCAATTAATGATCATCTTCAATTTTGTTGGTCCAATTTGTCAAATGTAGGCAATATTGATTCTAAATATTTGTGATTATAAACATTCATAAAAACATGAATAAAGGAGTCAAGAAGTTATTTCATTAGTCATCTTGTAAAAGGAAAATTGCACAGCTTACATACTTGTAATGGCTTCCTTCTTCCAGAGAACAGCTGAGTTTGGCTCCCAGGAGAAGCAGCCACTCCTCTAACCTCTAAATCCATTCAAGCTCATGTACTTATCATGCAGTGTACTATGCTTTAAAAAGGCAAAATAAATAAATGTGAAATGATAATTCTCACTCTACAGTGCAAATTACACAATACCTCATAGAAAGAAATCATATCATTAATCACTTTTACTGGTTTCACTAAAGTCAACTTTTTATAGGGAAATTTTTTACGCCCTGTGGTAGTCTGCATGAGCTTCCAAAGAAGACATCTTAAACCCTGGACTTTGGGAATATGTACTTTTCATGAAAAAAAGGACTTTCAGGTGTGATTAAGAATTTTGAGATAGAGAGACTTCTTTGACTATTTGGTGAAGTCAATGTAACCACTACAGTCCTTAAAAAAGGAAGGCAGGAAGATCAGAATGAGACAGAGAAAATACAAGGATGGAACTGTAGGTCAGAGAGAAATGAAGATGCTATCCAGGTGGCTAAGAAGGCGGAGAAAGAGGTCATAAGAAGCTTCCAGGATGCAGAACAGACAAGAAATGGATTCTTCCCTGGAGCCTCCAGAAGGAATCAGCCCCTCTGCTAGCTGATTTAACTCCTTAAAACTCATTTTGTACTCCTATCTTGAGAATGGTAAACAAATACTTTTGTCTTGTATTATACAAAGTTTTTGATAAATTTTTACAGCAGGAATAAGAAAGTAATGGATGTCCCTCTTCTTTTTTCCACAATAAGATAAGCATTTATTTATTTGTTTGTTTACTTGCTTGTATTCATTTTTGAAACCTTTAAGAGTTTTGGTTTTGCCAACGTAAGCTGACAGAATATTTTTAGCAAACACTATTACTAGCCTTCATCTAATACAAGGAATAAAATAGAATGAAAAAGAATAGTAGTTATGTGATGATTTCATAAAAATGTCTGAAAAGGAATGTTGAAAATAATCAACTTGAAAATTTGTACAAAATAAAAATTAGATAAATATATCTATCATCAAAATTTGGGGGCCGGGGATTTAGCTCAGTGGTTCCACCGCCTGCCTTGCAAGTATAAGGACCCGAGTTCGATCCCCAGTACCAAAAAATAAAAAATTTTGGTAATTTTAGGGCCAAGGATTTAGCTCAGTGGTTTCACCACCTGCCCCATAAGCACAAAGACCTGAGTTCAATCCCCGGTACCAAAAAAAGAAATTTGGTAATTTTAGTTTATACTTCACCCATGTATTACTAAGAGTAAAGTTTTGTTTAATGATTTATAAATATTTTCTTTTTTTCTATAATTAGACTTGGATTCATTTTTATAGTAGATTATTTTTGTTCTGCTTATTTTTAAAGAAAGCATGACATATTTCCAGGTCGAGTTAGACAAACATATTAAAATCTTGAATTTTTTCTTCTTCTCTATAATTTAAGCTTGCATTAGAATTACTTTCTCTGAGCAAGTATTTCTAATGTGTGAAATAAATTTAATGTTACCACCTTTCTCTTCCTGAAAAACTAAGGTAATATTCAGTAGATTGTGGCATCATTATTAAGACATGCTTTTCTTTCATGCTGAATGAAATCTTATCTAAAAAATGATCTGTCCTAACCTACCCATGTGATTCCTTTCACTCCACCCTAAGTCCCTCTCCACAAAAGAATACCCTTGACTTAAACCTAAAATTCTCCTCTAAGAGTAGATTCAGAAGATGAACATAAAAATATCACAAGTTATCATGTTTGAAAATACAGTACTTGTAAGGTACTGCATGGCTTTCTTTTCTGGGTTATCTTTCACAAACTTTTCACAGTTGCTATTAGTTTGTTTGCTTGTTTGGCTTGGAGACATTCAGTTGATTGTTTAATTACATCACAAGAATAATTTTATTTGCTATAATAATTACCAGCTAACAAACCTAAATTGACATGGGTATGCTGAGCAATCAGCTAAATAATTTTCTACATGCACACACACACCAGCCTCTCAATTTTATACCTTAGTAACTCTTATAGCCATTTCAAATCACTATAGGTTATTTTAAATCACTATGCTTAATTTTCGGATAATAAAAACAGCAAAATTTAAACCCTCAAATATGTATGTCCTCCTATTCCCTGTATTTCTCACACATGACAGTCATCACTCTGCAATAAGCTCTTTTCCTTTCCCTAGCACTGTCAGGACCACAAAGGCTGGTATCTCTTGCCTTTACTATAACAGACACGTAATAAAAAATTAGTCAGTCAATAAATTAACACATCTCCAAATCACTGTATACACCTTGAGCATATTCTTAGGTTAGTTGCACTTATCCACACCTAATTATCACAAACACAATGTTAAAATTCTTCTATACATATCGCATAAGTGTTTAAAGCACTGAATGGCAGTTATTCTTCAGTGCTAGATAGTAACTATCCTTATAGGCAAGGACTATTGGTTTTGCTCACCCTGTATTCAAGACTAGCAGAAAACCTAGAAAATAGTAGGAATTTGATATTTGTTAAATAAGTAAGTCCAATGAATTCAAGTATGAATTAATTCATAATCACATGGTATAAAATGATTCATTCATACACAGTAAGAGTGTTCAAAGGGCAATGCTATCATATATGGAACTTGCTGGGATCTACAGAAGTAGAGGAGTCAGGCCATCAACACCCTACTTAGAAAACTTGTAAGATTTGGATAGGAAGAGCAGCCCAACCTTCTTATTTCCAAAGTGAGCAAGCTAAAAAGTGATTTTCTTTGCTAAGCTCTTTGCCAGTTACTGCAGAGCATACACAGGTTTCAGACCTCTTTCCTGTACTATCCTCTTGCTAGTATAAATAATATAAGCAGCAGAGTGAAATGAGCTGCAGAGAGTAAAGAACAACAGAAACTTAAACTTGGCCACACAAGAACCAATATTTCAAACAAACGGCTGTGAAGCGATCTTTGGAATGGATGCCAAGGGTTGCCTTTGTCATAAAACACTAGCCACTTACTCAGGATATGCTGGGGATAGGAGATGGCAAGAAGACAGATGAATATTTCTGAATGGCTTCTGCCCCCACTCAAAATGCTACAAGTTATAAGATCTTATATCTACCATGTAATAAATATTATTGACTGATCTCTTTAGAGCTACCTAAAGCACTGAATTCACCTCCCACTTCCTTCCTGCTTAAACAATGATTATTTCCAGTCCAATCATCATCATTTTTCCCTAGGCCAGTAATATTAGTTGTTATTAAGTTGCTTACACCAAGTCTGAACATAATGAAAAGCAAAGATAAATTGGTCTAATCCAGCTCATAAACACTGAGAAAGGATAGAGATTTTGTCAATTCAATTTAGCATTTAAGCTGCTTGAGATCAGGGACCAAGATTATCTTGGATCCCAGGTGATAAGACACCCAGGTATCTGAAACTCAACCTAAGGTCATTCCTAATTTCAAACAAAGTAGCTACCTTATACTACAGAGCACTTCCTTTCTGGCAGACCAACCTGACTTGACCTAACAATCTCAGTGAAACCAAGTGCAAAGTAGGTGAGTTGGCAAAGGTCTAACCTCGGGCGATTCTACCAAGAACCTTCTTCAAACAGCTTCGGACTGGACAGGCTGGAAGGGATCCTTCCCAGAGACTGCGTCGGTCCGCGTCTGCAGGTTGCCTGGCAACAGGCACACACAGCAGGCCTCAGAAAGCCCAGTCTCACCTCTAAGGAAAATAAAATAGACCGTCAGCAACAACCTTCGCTTCTTGCACGCCAGTTCCTCCTCCTGAAGGGCTCAAGTCCCCGAAACCCCGCTGGGTTTGCAGACTCACAGGGATGAAACCTGCCGCCTTAGGGTGCACAGAGTGGAAGGACGCCAGGAGCCTATAAATCCCGGGCGGATTTAGCCAGGCGCCTCTCTTGAACCCGGAGAGGGCCAAAGCCTGGCACGGATCCACGGCTGTTGTGTAATTCTTCATTTAACTGAATGGCATTTAACATATTTCACTGAGCAACTGTCCTGTGCCCAGCGCCCAGGATGATGTTTGTAGGGTAACAATTCAAGCATATGCTGTGTTTTCTGCGGCCAAGGAGCTTGCAATTATTTTTTAAAAGACTGTAGTATAACACTATATGTAAAGCTGTAGATAGTAAACACACCCATGTATATCACTTTAAATATATGTGCAAACACATATATATATAGATTATTACATATACAAGAGCATGTGTATGTGGTGTGTATGTGTATATAGGTTAGAATTTAAATTGCTGATATAATGGAAAGGACATAGGCCTAGAAATTAGGAAACCTCCATTTTATTCTTTACTCTGCCATTTTTTTTCTTTTGCACTCTACACAGTGTCTCTGGACACCAAGTCTTCATGTACAAGGGAAAGGGAAGGTTTTAGGTATTTCTACAGTTCTACTCCAACATAATATGTGGTAACTTTCCTAAATTACACAACCAAGGGTCAGGTACCTTACAACTAAGATCTCATGAAGTCTCATCCAGTTGTCATCCCAGAATAATCTTTTTTTTTCTAATTTGCAGTATCTCTTTAAAATTAGCTCCCTTCAAAATATATGTTCAAATTCTCATACTGAAGGAAGTTGAGGAATAAAAATACATTTTGGAAATATAAAAACAGTGAAACCAATGAGACCAAATCATTCCATTTCTTCCCTACACTTCATAAAATTCATCCAGTCAACCTACAGAAAGAAAAGTAAAAATAAACTAGGAAAAAAAGTAAAACTGAAACAAAAACCTAAACCTCAACTGTGAAGAAAGTAAGTACCCATCTAATTTCAGCCATTCCAAATGATCAAAAAAGCGCCACATCCTTGTCTGCTCTTGGCACTTAAACTTAGCGCACCTGAATTATTTCAACGTTTCTGAATACAGCTCCCTAAGGCACCAACATGATGGTCTTAAAGAAAAAAACTACATCTATACAACTCAGACATTTTGCTAATACACCTTTCTTTAGTTTTCATCAACACTTCAAAAGTATACATACTTATAGGGTACTATGTAATGTGTTGATACATTGTATACATTGTGTAATGTTCAAATCAGGGTGAACTTATCAACCTTCTCAAACATCATTTCCTCACTGTAAAAGTGTCAATTCCCTCTTCAAACCTTTCTGAATTATACAGTATATTATCACTGTCTATGGTCACCCCAGTATGCATTAGAGCACCAGAAACTATTTCTCTTAACTTCAGCTTAATACCAATTAATCAAATTTTTCTTCTCTTAAGAGAGCAAAATCTTGGATTCTATATTGACCATGTAAATTGACATTTTTGCCAATTTTTAAAACAATCCATGGTTTTATATAAGTACATACTACTATTGACTATATATTGACTTTTCTACACACAAAATGAAACTGAAATAGTATATGCTAATATTTATTATCGTGCTACAATGTAATTTGCATAACAATCATGAGGCCCTGTGTTCATCTCCAACATGCCAGAAACATTTGTATTTTAAGCTTAAATTTACTTTAAATTTTCATTTACTTGTTCATTGTTACTCATGTATTAAACAAACATCTGTTGAAAACATACTATCATAAAACCTTGGATTCAGAGTAACTTTTCTGCAAGTGTTCCTCAAGACAAGCAAACATTTCTATTGAATTTTAACTTGATAAATGAGTGATGTCTGGCAAATTATTGATTGAATGAAAAAATAATGAGCTCCTCATGTATATATGAAAAATAATATGTACTTTTTGCCTTGTAGAAGCTTACAACAGTGTACGAGATTATTAGAGTAATAATTCTAATTTCTTCATTCATTCAGTGAATTTTCACTAAAGGCCTACAGATTCAATACCTGTTCTAAGGACTAAAAATATAGCAGTGAAGAAAGCAAAACCACTGTTTTGGTGAAAGCTACAGTCTAATAAAGGAGTCAGATATTAAAGAAATAGCATACATTCAGATAACAATTGATGAAGTGAAGGTAAGTGATGTAGCAGGTAAGTGATGTACCATGATCAGCTAAGACTTCATTGAGAGGAACTCTGCAAGGAGCAATGCAGGCAAAAGAGAGAGCAAGTTTATCACTTTTTATGGCTGAGTAGTGTTCCATTGTATGAAAAACATGTCTTCTTTAGCCAATCACCCTTAATGCACATTTGGGCTGAAATAGGAAAAAAAAGGTCCAAAGTGGAAAGGAAAGTAGGAAGGGGGGTAGCAGAAAGGAAAAAAGGGAAATTTAAAAAATTGGAAAAGAAGGAAAAAACAAAAACAAAATTTTTTGTAAATAGAGGTGGAAGGGTGAAAGGGTGGAGTGGTGGAAGGGAGGGAAAGGGAATGAACCAAGATATACCATGGACAGGTATAAATTCCCAATGATAAATATGATCATAGTGTATACTGAAAATGTACCAATAAACTTAATAAATAAAAATAAATGAATAAATAAATAAATAAATGAAAGAACAAGCACAAGGGCCTTAGTAGAGAGCATCTTTGTCAACCTGATAGATGTGGCTGCAGTGAGAAAGATGTGAGTGAACATTGATAGAATACAGGGAAAGGAATCACATAGTTAGCCACGATCAGATTATATAGTGCCTTGTAGCCATTTACAGGACTGTGAACTTTATATTAAGTGTAGAGGGTATTCACTGGAGTTTTGGGGAGAGGAAAGATTATGTTCTATGGAAAATAAATCATGCTGTAGTAAGAATGGATACAGAAAGAAAAAGCAGAAAGATACTATTACTTAGTTTGGGAAAGAAATGATATTGGCATGACCAGAGTATTGGCTATCCACAGACTGGAAATAAGTATTTAGATTAAGGAAATAATTTAAAAGTAGAACTAATAAGATTTGTAGATAAATAGAATTCAGTATTCAGTGTAAAGGAAAAGAAGAATAAAGTAATAAGATATGCATGAAAATGTTTGGGGAAGAAGAGAGTATAATGGTTAATTCCATGTATCTACTTAAATATACTATGGTGATCAGCTGTTTGGTCAAATATTAGTCTAGATGTTGTATGAATGTAGATTCTAGAATTGATTAGCATTTAAATCAATAGACTTTGAATATAGTAGATTACTCTTATCTTCCTTAGTGTGGATGGGCCTCTTCCAATCCATTGAAGGCAAAGACTAAGGTTTCTCAAAGAAAACAGAATGTTGCCTCTAGAGTGCCACATTAACATACTGTTGGAGTTATGAGGCTTTGGACTTAAGGCTGCAACATTAACTATCATCTGAATCTGGATCCTGCTCTCTTGCTCTGTGGATTTCAGGCATGTGTGCATATAAAATGCATGTGTAGAGAGAGATGTATATATCTACATGTCGAGAGAGAGAAAGAAAGAGAGACAGAGAGACTGTATAGATCAGAAATAATTTCTCTACTACCCAATACAATTTCAATTAGGATCTTTGCACTATTTTGTTTCATAATTTAATTTCTGCTTTCTATTCAAAATGACAACTACTTTCTTCAAAGTAGATTTTTAGCTCATTTGTGTGAGTGGTAAGGTTAATTATGGCAGAGCATTCAGGAGATGTTAGTATGTGTTCACTTGAATTAAATGGCACTGTAAACCCCCTAAATGATTAAATAATGATATCTGTTTGAAACACAGCAATTCTGAAAAAAAGTCATTTTACACTGTTTTATTTTTTAATAACAATATTATTACTATAATGAATTTAAAACATAAAGCCAAATGCTTTACATTATATCTTAGGTGAAATAAGCAAGTAAACCTATTCTCTTCATAGTCCTAGTCTTTGGCACGCCGATACAAGCAGCACTCTAAACTATCAAAAGGGAAGATTCTGTCAAGGGAAGCTACTTGGCTACACTTCCATGTGCTACCGTATTGTCTTTCTAGACAATAAGTCTTTTTGATGAGAAAACAGAAGCAAATTATTTTTTGACTAGGTAATAATTTAGAATCACAATTTGTCTCTGAGTTTACAAATTGTCTGTTACTTCCTAATCCCAGGTGGAAGGAGCACAATGATGTAGTTTATTCAAAACAGGAAAAATAAATAAATAAATTAAAACAAGTAAATAAATAAAAATCTATACAGGGAGGCCAAGTCTATAAAACTACAGTACGTGCTCAGACCTGGTGCACTGGCAGCCTCCAATACACCTTGCTCTTTAACAGTGTGCTGCCTGTATGTTGCCACCTGGATTACAGTCCAAAGGCTGGTTGCAATGATTCAGGAAGGGATCTGCTCTTCCAATGGTTACAGCTCTGCACCTCAGGGTGTCTGGAGGCGGTCTGCTGCATCCCAGCACTATGTGGCCTTTGTCAGCTAGTGACACTACCCACGGGAACCTGTCTGCTAGGAATCCTCGGGCAGGGATCCAGCCTGTGCAGGAGGATGGAGCCCAGAGAGAGCGCGGTCCCTGGAGCTTCGGAGGTCGGGCTGCCCCAGCCGTTACCGGTTGGTGCAATCCGGACATCCTTCAAGACTTTCCATGGCACCGAAGATGAAATTTAGTTGCTTATGGATCTTTGGTCTGTGTTTAGTAGCTAGTAAATCTCCCAGATTTAAGTAGAAGTAAATCTTCCTTCTATCACATTACCCACACTTTATCAACCAGTGTGTTGAGTCCCACAATGAATTTCGAAGCCAAGCCAGTCCTCTGGCGGCCGACATGAAATACATGGTGAGAAAAGAGGGGGGCTGAGCTTGTATTTCTCTGGTTCATCCTAAGGTGTCTAGGAGATTGTACATTTCATGGATTTACTTGTCTGAGTGATCTGAACTCCGCCTGTAGTTTGAGAAAATCATTTTGCCTGGGCAGTGTCCTTCAAGGTAACTGTAGGAGTGGATGAGAAAGGACAATTTGAAACTATTTTGTTGTGTTTCCTAGACTGAACTTCTTTGGGGCAGGGAGGGAAGCAGGAGGTGTCTGTTGCTTGTTCTTCATCACTATGGTTTAAGGGTTTTCCCTCCTCCCCTCCCCTCCCTTCCCCTCCCCTCCCCTTCCCTCTCCTCTCCTCTCTCCCTCTCCATTCCTCTCCCTCTCTCCCTCCCTCCCTCTCTCATTCTCTCTCTTCCTCTCTTTCTCCTCTCATCCAGCATATCCAAGATAACATATGTAAAGTTACAGTCTTCCTGATGATTGTCTCATTCTCTTTCTTATTTTTATATCTTATAAGCCCAAGACCAAAACAACGCTACATGTGTACTATTTATTTGAAAGATAAAAATATTCTAGAAGAATGTAAACACTGAAAGCAGCACTTGACTAATATCAAATGGTCATTTTCATGAAAAATAATAAAGTTGTGAAATTTAATTTGAAAAACATGGCACTGTTGTATTTTTCAAAGACCTTCATCACATAGATTTCAAATCTGAATCTTTAAATTGCTAATTGAACTTTAATTGGATTGCATTCTAATTTAATTGTTAACACAAACCAGAAATATTTACTATTTGAGAGATGAGATGGTCATGTAATAGATTCTACTTACATCTATTAACTAAGTGTAAGTCCCTGATTTTCAGGGACTACAATTCTACTAGAATACAATATTGCTGAATAAATTTGAAAAAAATAAAAAAATCCAATATTAAACTGCTATTTCTTCCATGTGATAAATTAGTTTCCTTTAAATAGATAGATTATTTAAATTTTTTATTTATAATTTCTGCATTTAATTTTAGAAAAATCGTTGACCTATAATTTTCCTTCTCCATTTCCTCTTACATGATTTTGACTTCAAAGTTTTAGTAGCTGCAAAATAAGTTGCAAGTTGGGAATGTTACTTCTTTTAATATTTTGGTTACAGTTGTATAACATTCTGATTATCTCATTTTTCAATGTTGAGAAGACATTCTTTATAAAAAATATTTTGTTCTGGTATGTTTATGTGTGCATTACGTTTGTAAATTTTAATTATTGATTTCATTTCTTTAATGATTATGTGATATTAAGTTTGGGGAAAACATTAGCAACTTCTCATATATTTATCTCTCCTCTATCTATAGTTATGCTCTATTTAGGTACTATAACTTTTGATTTGTGTGCTTTCTCTTCTTTGTTGATCAGTCTTTATTAAAAATCCACTTTTATCTTACTTGACTTCCTTTGTTGATAGACAGGAGATATGGCATAATGTTTCAATAGATAGGTCTTCAAGTTGGTGACTTAACTCAGGAGGTGATTATAAGGATTATAATTATGACAAATCATACAAAGTGACTACATCCAAAACAAAGTAAGGACTCAATAAATTTTAGCTAGTATTCTAATTAAGTTCCTGATGATTTAATATCACTTTATATTTTTCATTGCAATTACCACTGTCTGAAATGATTACACTTTCAGATTTTTTCCACTTTACTATAAAAGGATACATTTATTCATTTATTGACAAGCATTACACCTGAAGTTTAGACTCATGTTCCATATATAGTAGAAAATGAATGAAATTGTACAAATAAATGGAAAAATAGAAATTAAAAGAATGAGTTCCTAACACATACCAGATGTTATTAGAGTGATAAACTGAGAAAACAATTTTGATATAGAAAATATGTGGAACAAAATTTGGGGCAAGGACTACTACAAAGATGAAAACGATATTTAAAAGTCAATATGAAAGAAATACATTTTGTCAGGGGTTTGAATTGGACACTTTTGGTGGAGTGCCAAAACTAAAGTTTACTTTGTAGCTTTGCCTATTTTAGATTTTTGTGTCTTTAATATAAGAACTGTTCTAGAAATATTTACCAACATGACACTGTTGGTGGAGTGTATCACAAAGATTTTGAAGTACTACAGGGTTTGTTTAGAAACTTTCATTTACTTAAGTTTAAAAGTCAAACTAATTTTTCTAAATTGATTACCTTGTTCTAAAGCCAGAAGAACAAGTGAATGCTTTTCATTTTATTTTTTTTTCTATTTTAGGATCTTCAAAAAACTCTTACATTTGACAGTACATATCAAAATATTTTAGTATTGATTCAATGATTTCTTCCCCCTGTAATTAAATTGAGCTTTTAATTGTACCATTTTATTGACAGAACATAAAGACATGAAGCCCGTGGGGAAAGCACCTCAGCAAATGGTATATAATCTACTCAGCCTAGGTTTTGTTCTTCTGAGAATATTTTAATTGTCATTTATACATGCAAAAAGTCCTCAAATTTTATAATAAAGAACACTTTATGGTTAAACATAACTCATCAGAAGTTTAATTCTCAATTATTAAGTCTTTTGTGCTCTTGCCTGTTACCTAATTTAATGTCTGTTTTTTATTAAAATATATTGTAATTTGTAAAATAGAAAACAATAGAAAATAGTCTTAAGGTTTTTTTTAAAACTGCATTTTCATATGTCTGGAAAAAGTCTCAATCTCTAATTTTGTAATGGAAATGAATTTTCAATACATTAAAATTATCATGCTTTATTGAATGGATTAAATCAACAGATTAAACTCAAAATGTAAAATTAATTAGATTTTTATGATATCAAAGGTAAATTTATCTCTTGAAAATTATAATTAATTCTTTTAGGAGATTGTATTTTTAAAATGTCTTATAAATAAAAGGATGTAAATAATATATCTTATTAAAGCTGTACAAAATTATCTGTCATATAGGTTACAATATTCTACAAACCAAGGAATTACTCAATTCTGGCATTTCTTTTGTCTAAGAACAAAAATCAAAATCATTATTCAGGGGCCAGGGATTTAGCTCAGTGGTGCAACACCTGCTTTGCAAGTGCAAGGTCCTGAGTTCAATCACTAATTTTTTTTAAAAAATTATTTAATTATTCAATTCAGTTTTAAATGTCAGAAATACTGAATTATTGATTCTTGTAGTCTACTTTTTTTTCACCTAAGCCAACCCAGCTTTCCATCCTTTATATATATTTAAAACCACTATTAAAGGTATTTCTAACAAAACTGAGGATTGTTTCCTATATATTGCCAGATATTTAGGAATTTCCACATAGCTGGGAGATTCTTGCTGCTTTTTACAATGAAGCCTAGTGGGAAACATGCTAAAACTTTAAGATATGCAGGGTGTGGTGGTGCATGCCTGTGAGCCCAGCACTCAGGAAGCTGAGGCAGGAGGATCACCAGGAGTTCTAGGCCAGCCTGGAATACATAGCTTATCTCAAAAAAACAAAGCAATAACAATAAAAACAACTAAGATATGAACAGGGCAGGAAGTTGATGACTTTAAACTTACATCTAAAGTTACATATGTGCATTTAATTACACACATTATGTTTATTTTTATCACCAAAGATATATATTATAAAAAACAAAAAAATTAAACAGGATGAAAGATAGAGGGATTAGAAAATAAGTCCTAAGAAGATATTTATGCCAGGAAGATAATAAAAAACACTTTTAACATTTTCATATTGTTTGCTAGCACTTATATCTTCATAATTAATTTTAAATTTTCTCTTTCAGCTATTTTCCCAGGATGCATCATCATCTGAATTGATTGGTTTAGCTAAAACTAGGTAACATCATCTATAATTAAGTTTACCTGGGATCACAAACAGCACCAAGGGAAAGAAGTAAATTATATAATCATCATTCTCAGGGAAGCTCCCACTTTACCTCAGGAAACCTAGACACCACAGGTCCATGCCCTGTAGTCGAAACCAATAGAAATCAGCCTAGACCCACTCCTTGCAACCAGGGATACCCCACTGATCATTATAACAACAGTTTAATAAATATTTTTAAAGCATGCACAACATATCTGGCACCACACTAAGTGTTCAAAATTAGTTTTGGTCCTCATCAATGTAAGTGAAAATGATATATCATTTTAATTTAATAATAGTAATAATTAACACTAAGTAGTGTTTATAATGTGCCAAGCACTGTTTTACATATAATAACTAATATAATTCTTTGATATAGATATGATGTAGATGAATATAATAACTAATATAATTCTTTGACAGATGTGATGTAGATGATATTAATTTTTATTGCTTCAAGTATTCATAGATCTAAACATATTTTCATAAGCTGCATTCAGATTTATAAATATAGTGTTTGAAAGTTATTAAGATAGGTTATAAATGCTGTCTTTGGGTGAGAAGATTACAATGAATTGTTCAGACATACAGCCATGCTAACTACTGACCTGAAGAACACAAGAGTAGTGTATATTTAGGGGTAAAAATTCTATATAAATAAATACACAGTACTATGGCTTTGTCTACTGGATAGAAACGTATTTGAAATTCCAGATCCAAATCTATCATGGATTCTGGCCATAGACAGACCATCATTAGTATGTGAAATAGATGCAGCATGAATATTTCTATGTACTGCTTTTTGGCCTTTTGAGGGGTTTTTCCTTTTTCTTTTTTTTGATGGGGAAGGATCACCTATTTATCTCCTACATACATTTTTCTAACGGTGCTGGTGATACTCATTTTCTTATAAATTTTTAATGATTCCTAGTACATAAGGAATTTTAATCTTGTGACATTTATGTAGCAAATATCTTTAGTTGTTTTCCACTTACATTTTAATGAAGTACAGTCCATCTTTCTACTTTGCAATGTTGGTTATATATGTAGTATCATTGTAATTTTCTCTTACAGTGTTTCTCATGCACCATTATTAAAACATGCATGTTTATATTATAGAAAAGATTGAGCAGGTCAAGACT